GACTGCTGAGTCCATACACACACACAGACTGCTGAGTCCATACACACACACACAGACTGCTGAGTCCATACACACACACACACACACACAAGCACATTAAGCCTACCTGTCACTGGAGCCTGTTGCTGGGGGTCAGACAGACATCTTCCATCCTTTCCAGCAGCAGCATGCTCGGCTGCTTAACGGTGGGGCGGGGCTTATGTGCGGGAGGCAGGGCTTCATTTGGGGGCAGGGCCTGTGCCGAGGAGTATGTCAGACAGCACCCACTGTTCCAGCTCCTTGGCCCTGCATTCCCTCGGGCTGTAACACACTGTTACAGTCCGAGGGAATAGAATTGAAGCACTTGGCCAGCAAGTTGCTGGCATTTGGGGGGGGCCATGGCCCCCTCTGCCCCCCCCCTAGCATGACGTAGGGGGGGCCATGGCCCCCTCTGCCCCCCCCCCTAGCGACGCCACTGCTCGGCACTGCTTACCTCTCCTCCTCCTGTAATATCGTCCTCCAATGTCCAATCCAATAAGCCTCATAGAGGACTGGAGACCCGATGCACATGCTCGGTGAGTCCCCCTTTCACACCTGAGCTTCCCCATTGGAAAGTATTGAATCAATGCTTTCCTAAGGTGTCTTCTGTGTCATTAGAGTTTGATTCAGTCAGTGCCGCAGAAGCGCCTCTAGTGGCAGGCTAGAGCTACAACAACCACTAGAGGTGGATTTAACCATGCAATGTAAACATGACTGTTGTGGTCCTTTAAAGGGCATGCCCTTTTTTACCTTTTAGAAACAGAAAACGTTTTGCCCCCAGTTTCTCATTTACAAGAAAATATTTTCTAGTTCAATATTGTTTTACGTTAAAAAGGTTTGTTTTTCCAATAAAACTCTTATCATAAGAAGTTTCCTTCTGTGTCCTTAATATAAGCAGTTGGTGCAGCAAGTTCAAGTTAATTTTCTTCATAATAAAGCCACTTATTCAGATCAGACAAATCCATAAAATGGTCTCAAGCTTCTGAACATTTTTAGTGATCTATTCTTTTCTTATTTGCAATCTCCTGCATTAGTTATATCCTAATAGCAGCCTCTTTTGAGCACCTGCTGTAATGCAATCATTCATGGAAACATTAAACATAGATCACTTGTTATTTGAATGCCTGATTTTTTTATTGCCTCAAGAAACAACAAAATGTCCTTCTTCAAAATTCAATTTCTAGCTTAGTTTTATCTCTCTCTTAAAATAAGGAAACATCATTGATTCCTTGCCCCAATTTTATTTTCTAATGCTTGTCCACCTTATCCACCTCCAGTAGCGTTATTATGGTGTCATCATTCAGCCCCAGAGAAGAGTTCCTGGCTGGTTAATATAAATTCTGTGCATATTGCTATGTACAGAATTGGATTCATCATACCCAGCAGGGACACAGGTAAGATGGCAAACCATTCCAAAACAGTTTGCCCCATTCTAGGGAAATAGTGCCAGGGTACTCATATAAACACAGAATGTGACGACAGATAAGAACCATTCGGTCCATCTAGCATGCCCAATTTTCTAAATACTTTCATTAGTCCCTAGCCTTATCTTATAGTTAGGATAGCCTTATGCCTATCCCACGCATGCTTAAACTCCTTTACTGTGTTAACCTCTATCACTCAAGCTGGAAGGCTATTCCATGCATTCACTGCCCTCTCAGATATTATTTTTAAACCATTGCCAATCTAATTTAAGACTATGTCCTCTTGTTGTGGTAGTTTTTATTCTTTTAAATATACTCTCCTCCTTTACTGTGTTGATTCCATTTATGTACTCCCCACATCATAACCACTGAGGCTTGTAGTGGTTTTGGTGCCTGACGTAACCCTTTATATAATAATGAAAGAGAGTGGAGTTTGATAGTGTGCTGGTTTGGGCAGTTTTGTTTGTAGTTGCCTCCCCCCAGTGCCAAGTCTCCTTTGTTGTTACTTGGTGCTTTGCCTCCTGCATTTTAATCGTAGCGGAAATGCTTCCTGGCTTCTTCTCCAATGCAATACTTCTCCTAATTGCGAACAAGATGCACATGCGCGGTGAGTGCTGCTCATGTGTCCAATCAAAATTGTACTCCAGCCGAATCAGCAAAGCGACTTTTGTGTCTTCCCTGTGGAGCTTATTTTTACACAGACTCTACTGTGCTGATATATGCTCTTTGTTCTTTCAGTCTGTTTTTTGTGGGGTTTTTTCCCCAATGATGGCACCTGCAATGAAAGATTTGATGTATTTGTCTTTAAATAAATTGCATGTCTTTTCTCATACCCCCAATGATGTTGTGAGGTTGAGGACACTGCTCTGTTTCTGAGAACCACATTCTCTTTTTTTTTTTTTAAATGTTGTTATAAAAACTCCTGATGCAGTTCTATTATTGACTACCTATTTTTTCTTAAGATTATTTTTAAGGAGCATTATTTGTCAACTAATCATCATCAACAAGGTATCAGAGTCTACTCAGAATGGCTCATGTTCTCTTTAGTCAGTCATGTCATGTCTGTAAATACTTCTCCATATTTGTCTATTTATTTTATTTATTTATAAAGTATTTTACCAGGAAAGATACATTGAGATTTCCTGGGTCCACAAAACATTGCCTTGATACATTCGGGTACAATAAAATACAAAACCAATATTAATACACAATATATACAAAATTTAACATAGAACAGGTAGGAAATATATACTCAACCATGACAGGTGCATTCTGATTTGAGGTATGTAGAGAGAGATCTCTTAAAATACTTTAGGCTTGGGGAAGATTTTAAAGTGTGCGGGAGGTTATTCTACAATTGCGGCACTCTGTAGGAGAAGGAGGATCGGGCCGCTTTCTTTTTTTATCGAGGTAGACTAAATAAAGTTCTAGTACTGGATTGGAGGTTATAGGAGGTGGGAAAAGCCAGGAGAGCATTTGTCAGAGAACAGTATCAATTTGGTAGGTCTTAAAGTTGCCTGCTTGAACTGACATGAAGCAATTTCCTTCTACTTCTGAATTTTCATAAAAACCAGTGGAAGCAAACATTTTTTACTTATATTTGTTATTTTTTTTAATTTATTTTTTTACAATGACCTGTTATTTGTTTTACAACGACCTGTTCTGTTGACTCATTGCACAGTGCTGTGGAATACATTGAGCTTCATTTATTTTCTGATTTCATTTATTATTTTATTCATTTAAAATTCTAATAAACCTGGTAGATTTTTATTTATTTGCTCCTATATTAATTGACGTACTTAATCGGTTCTGTTTAATGCTGCCGACAGTAGCTATGCTGTAAGGGACATACATGAATGTGAAGAGACTAAAACTGCATTGTCGATGACTGCTTGAGGATTGTGTGCATTGCAGTGTGTAGCCTTTGGTTTGAAACAGAAAGGCTATCTTTGTCTAAAGCATGAACAGAGAGGAATGCAGCCAGCTGAACTGCAGCTGTTGTGTTAAACCCCCACGTATATTCATGTAAAGCCAGAATGTGCCATATTTCCATATTTACACTTGATTTGGGAATAAATATATTAAACGTATTACTTTCCATAACCCTGATACTTCGTGCTTCACATATTAGAACTCTAAACACATTCACGTTCTACTCCACAAATTAACTGTGCAAACCAGTGTCATGATACGTTGGCTCCCTGTAAAGATGAGTTACAGGAGCGGAGATATATCAAGGCAAATCAGGAAGTAATTTAGTTGCAAAGTTATATAGTTGAGGGACATTCTATAGGTTTCCATGGCGATTGCTCTTCATTTAGCACTTTGTCTTAGAATTGTTTTTGCCTTGGTAAATCTCCTCTTACATTTCTCTGAAGGAGCACTCAGGCTGTGTGAATGGAGGCGAGATGGAGAGTTAACCCCTTAAGGACACATGACATGTGCGACATGTCATGATTCCCCTTTATTCCAGAAGTTTGGTCCTTAAGGGGTTAAGGGAGGCTGAGTGTTGCTGCACAGAAAATGTATATAAATATGTATAATATTTTTGAGAGAAAATGGTTAATTCAAAAATACACAAAATACATCAGCACATTAATATGTTACCTGTAATTGGTGGTTCCGTTAACTCCCATCAGCAGGTTAGTTATTATTATTATTGCCATTTATATAGCGCCAACAGATTCCATAGAGCATTACAAAATTATGAGAGGGGGGATTTAACTATAAATAGGACAATTACAAGAAAACTTACAGGAACGATAGGTTGAACAGGACCCTGCTTAAATGAGCTTACAGTCTATGGTTGTGTGTGTTAGTGTGTGTGTGTGTGTGTGTGTGTACATATATTAACCCTTTCAGTCGCAGAGATATCATGTGAAGTGGTCTTGTATTAATCCTTCTAGTCCCATGAGGATGATTAAATGTGTTACATTTTGTATAACTGAGAGGGTTAATAAAGACACACATTATATATTAAGCCAGTCAGTCTCAGAGATATCATGTGAAGTGGTCTTGTATTAACCCTTCTACTTCCATGAGGATGATTAAATGTGTTACATTTTGTATAGCTGAGAGGGTTAATAAAGACACACATTATATATAAAGCCAGTCAGTCTCAGAGATGTAAAGTGGTCGTTTATTGCTCTTTCAGTGCCATGGGGATGGTAAAAGGTTTTCCCTCCCCCCTCCCCATAGGACATAAAGAGTTAATGAATGCACATTGTATAATAATAATAATAATAATAATAATAATAATAATAATATATCAGAGAGTACATGTTTTAATGATGACAAATAGTAAAAGAATTAGTGTAATAATATGTGCCTAAAAAAAAAGCAGACTTGATATTTAGTCACTGTAAGGGACATGAAAATGACTACATGCTTTCTGTAGGAGAAATGGTTAAAGTTTTACATGTTAGGAAGATAAGCACACAATCTCAGCATCCCACTGTCAAACTTTAATCCAATGATATGGGGGGAAGGCTGCTCCGCCCTCGCCCAGTGCAGCCCAGCAGCCGATCCCCTGTCCCGCAGTGTGGAATGCGAGCTGCCTATTGGCCGGAGCTGGCTGTGCCTTTTGTATACATGCTAATATGCAGGCAGGCTCCCTGTATCCTCAGCCCGCACTTTGGCTGAGACCTTCCAGGCATCTATAAGTATCAGAGCCAGCTGCGACACAAGGATTATGCCGACTTTGGACTCCCAGGGCAGCAGAAGCAGCACCTTCCCAGCATACAGCCTTGTCAGTTCAGCGCGTTAAGGAGGATTTTGCTAGAGGAGAGGAGATCAGTTCGCTTGCGAGTCCTGCGATGAGTTGTCTGGATGTTATGTATCATCATCAGGTTTATGGAATGCGCCAGTGTCTGCCTGGGACAGCGTGTACCACAGCCTATTATCATCGCCATCACCAGCAGCAGGTGAGTCAGCCCTCATCTGTGGCCACTGGGCTGGGTGATCACATATATTTTATATATTCCGCCTGTCTACAAGGACTGAGAGCTGGGGAGATCACTTATATTATATACCGCCTGTCTAGAACTGGGGTGCAAGTTTAAATGACCCTTATCTCTACTGAGTGTCATTGTGTTATAGAAATATCTGTACACATATACAGGTGTTCAGAATTCTTGTTGTGTCTGAGTTCATACCAACGTTCCATATGTGTGTGTTTGATAAACATATTTATTATATATATAGTTTTAATCTAGTTACAGTTTCTACTTGTAGCAGTTAACGCTGTGCTAGTTAAGTGTAATTGGGTCCAAGAGGGGAAGCTGCATCCTCTTTTGCCGTCTTGTTTTTCAGAGCTGATCATTCCAGATGTGGTCTATTCACTTACAGTGGATTATCTATAAATCAATTACAATGGAACGTTACTATTTAGGAATAATTCATCATTTTGCTAGTCTACATTTATGGGTGCTCTTTGTATTTTGAAATGAGAATCACATACATACCGGTACCTAGAATCGAATACCTGACAGTTTTGATGTGGTTTGGGAGTATTTCTGTCTCCATAATGTACAATGTTGCAAACTAAGATTTCTACTATATGTATATCATGTGGAATATGTGTGTATTTCTCTGTAAAATGCAAAAAATACCAGAGTACTGCAGTGTGCAATGATACCTTTTTTATTGGACCAACATAATACTTAAAAGACAAAGTTTTGAGAGTGTTTCTCTGTTCCCCAGGTCTGAAGCAATTTGTCAAATTAAACTATACAGGAATCACACAGGTTATTTTTAGATTATCGTCTGGCGAGCCCTAAATTACATCACATGTAAGGTTACTTCTCTATAAAACACTAGTTATGCATATTAATTGGATTATGGAACAAGAGGTTTGGGAATATATATATATACACATATATAATCCCAAATCTCTTGTTCTGTAATCCAATATATATAGATAGATGTGTATTGCTACAGACCTGTGGAAGAGTCTCTGGAAACCTTGTCTTTTAGGTATTATGTTGGTCCAATAAAAAATGTAGCATTGCGCACGGCAATACTCTGATATTTTGGCACCTTGTGTATTGGACTAACACGGCTAATCCAATCTACACTATATATATCTATAAATAATCCCAAATCTCTTGTTCTGTAATCCAATTAATATGCATAACTAGTGTTTTTATCAAGAAATAAATTTCCATGTGATGTCATTTAGATTTCTCCAGGCAGTAATCTAAAAATAACCTGTGCGATTCCAACATAGTTTAATTTTACTAATTGCTATAAACGAAGTATCTACTATCTACCACATGAAGCATTAAAGCATTAACTGTGGAAGGTGTAAAAACACACGTATAAAATTTGTTTCCCCCCTTTTTACATTATATTTGCTTTCCTAAGCTTTTTTGAACCCTCATGTTGTACACTAAAGTTCATCAGAAATACCTTTAACCAACATATTTCAGTAACTAACACATGTATTATTGCTTGTTATGGCCTTTTTACTACTCCTTAACAAATTAATCCTGATGTCTACAATTCTAGATTTTAATCACTATTATCAATTCCATTTGGAGTACGTAATACATCTTTTTAACAGTCCATATAAAATGTATGTATTTGTAGAATCAACAATTGTACCCAATAAAGCAAAATTCTGCTAGGAGTTTAATTCACCCAACAGTGGATTGTGGTATTTTGACACGGGAATTCCAAAATTCAGGCCAAAATTTTCAATCTGATAAAATGGCTTGACAAGAAGATGTTCCTTACTCTTTTGTTTGTACACTAAATTTTGAGAATTTTTTAAATTAATTTTCACAGTTTGCTGTTTCTCGAATAAGCCCTTAGATAAATAATAAAAAAAAAATGACATTGCACAAGCATTAACTGTAATAAAATGAGCACATTCCAATCAAACTGACAGCAGTGTGTGAGCATGCACAGTGCGTGGGTGTTAGGAGGGGCTACACAGACTTGGCCTCGCTATACTCAACAGAGAATACAGTTTGTGTTGTTGTTGCATTCCTTGAAGTTTTATCATAATTAACCACGAAGATCATACTTTACATGGGAAGTGTCCCTTAAAACATTGAGACAGTAAAACAAAAAAAAAAAGCTGCGTAATTCCAAAGGTGTTTTGTCATTGTGGTGTATAAAAAGTGAATGTGTATTTTATACACCAATTATATTTCAACACAGAATTATTATTTACATATGATGTTCTAATCAGGGTCCACCAACGTTGATGGAATACTTTATGTAGACAAAATTACATAGACTAGAAAAATATTTGCAATTACTAAATCTTTTTTTACTGATTTTATAGCAGACATTTACTTGCTTTGTAATAGAACGGAATAGCTGGTCAATTAAAACTTTAATTCTCCTATTATTTGAAAATGTTAGCGTTTTTAAAGTATATACTTTATTTTTATGCCTGTTTTCTGTAATTTCTCCAGAAGTAAACAGAGTCAGATAGAAATGTAATTAAGAGAACAAAACGTGTCTTTTCAAAGCAATAAATATCTATTAAAGTTTAGGATCTGTTAATTAAAATAAAAAATAATATAAAAATCCATTAAAAATGTATTTGTTAGATAATAGGTTAAAAAGTCAGGCAATTAGTAAACTATGCAGTCGAATATTAGCTCATACAGGATCACCTAAATGCTTTTATGTTCTATTATGAAATGGATTAAACAATTACAAAAGACTCTTTTGTATATTGTATTGCTTTCATTAACCAGTCATAGTTACATAGTTACATAGTTACATAGCTGAAAAGAGACTTGCGTCCATCAAGTTCAGCCTTCCTCACATTTGTTTTTTGCTGTTGATCCAAAAGAAGGCAAAAAACCCCAGTTTGAAGCACAATTTTGAAACAAGCTAGGAAAAAAATTCCTTCTTGACTCCAGAATGGTAGTCAGATTTATCCTTGGATCAAGCAGTTATTACCCTACATTGAAAGATTATATCCTTGAATATTCTGTTTTTGCAAGTATGCATCTAGTAGCTGTTTGAACATCTGTATGGACTCTGATAAAACCACTTCTTCAGGCAAACAATTCCACATCATGATTGTTCTTACAGTAAAAAAACCTTTACTTTGCCTTAGACAAAATCTTCTTTCTTCCAGTCTAAACGTATGGCCTTGTGTCCTACGTAAAGTACGGTTTGTGAATACATTTCCACACAATGGTTTGTATTGGCTCCGAATATATTTGTATAATGTTATCATATCCCCTCTCAGGTGACGTTTTTCTAAATTAAATAGGTTTAAATTTGTTAACCTTTCTTCATAACTGATATGTTCCATTCCTTTTATTAATTCTGTAGCCCCCCTGTGCTCTTTTTCTAGTGCCATAATATCCTTCTTTAGAACAGGTGCCCAAAATTGCACAGCATATTCAATATGTGGTCTTACCAGTGATTTATAAAGAGGCAAAATGATATTCTCGTCCCGAGAATGAATGCCCTTTTTCATGCATGACAATACCTTACTGGCCTTGGCCACTGCTGATTGACATTGCACATTGTTGCATAGTTTGTTGTCTATAACAATTCCCAAGTCCTTTTCGTGTGTTGTTATCCCTAATTCGCTTCCATTACGGGTATACCTTGCTTGTTTATTCTTTACGCCGAAGTGCATAACTTTGCATTTTTCAACAATAAATTTAATCTGCCATTTGAGTGCCCAGCCCCCCAGTCTATCTAAATCCCTCGGCAGCAAAGTAATATCTTACTCACATTGTATTATTTTACAAAGTTTTGTGTCATCTGCAAACACTGAAACATGACTTTCAATGCTGTCTTCAAGATAATTTATAAACATGTTAAATGGAAGGGGTCCCAGAATAGACCCCTGAGGGACACCACTTGCCACCTCTGTCCAGCTTGAAAATTTACCATTAATGACAACTCTTTGTACTCTGTTTTTAAGCCAATGTTCTACCCAAGAACATGCATTTTCATCTAGACCGATTTCCTTGAGTTTGAACACTAATCTATTGTGTGGAACTGTATCAAATGCCTTGGCAAAATCCAAATAGATCACATCCACTGCAACACCCTGCTCTATACTTCTACTTACTTCTTCGTAGAACGCAATCAAGTTAGTTTGACATGACCTGTGCTTCATAAAACCGTGCTGATTTTTGCTGATAACCATGTTCTTCTCAAGGAATTCTTGAATATTATCCCTTAATAACCTTTCAAATATTTTACCATGTGCAAATAACGTGTATGCGTGGGTAGAGGCATTTTCCTGCTTCCGAATTCTCACCATCATTTTTTTTTTTCAAGTCACAAAAAAATGGGTATTGTATAAGGCATAAAATGGTTGGGTAAATCTTGATTTAAAAGAGCACTCTAATATTAGATGCACTAACATTTAATGTTAGACATTCTCCTTACCTACTTTAATGTAAGGTCCTCTACCCCATAAAATGAAAATGAAGCTGTTTTACTTATTTTACCTACCTGTCATCCCATGCTGTGTTGATCTCACTGTGGTCGACACTCTCCCCTGAGACCATCAGAGAAGTTTTGCAGGTCTTACTGTACATGCGCAGCAATTACTAAGCTACAACAATCATCATCTCCTCATTCAGATGCATTATGTCAATGAATATCCATCAGGAGCATTTGACATCTTTTTATCCCAATGACCATCTTCTCCACTCACCCCTTAAATTTCAGTGTCTTTCTTTGTCCATTTGAAATGTTGAGATGTATGTCATATCGACAGTGTACACATTGCATTTATGTATGCCTTAGGAACAAATGTAAACATTGCCTTTATGGATGTCTTCTGTGCAGTGGTGACTGGTGAAGTTTTTAGATGGTGGGGTGCCAGACTCCTCCCCCAGGACTTTACTGCTGTCTATACACTACAGAGATACTCATTCAATACAGAGAGCTGAGCATAATACGGAGATGCTCATACAATAAAACAAGCTGGGCACAACATAAATATATCTACAAGATACATAGAGCTGAGTACAATACATACCACAAACAGAGTTGGGAAAAAGTAGAGATATAAAATACAGACCTGGGCAAGACAAAAATATACCTATACAGGGCACAGAGCTGGGTAGACAACAGAGATAATCATACAACAGGTAGAGCTGAGTAAAATACAACAGAGTTGAGCATAATAAGGAGATACTAATAACTATCCCACACAGCCAGGATCACTGTGATGGATTACACAGAGCTGTCATACAGAGATCCTCACACCATACATGTCTATGTAAAATTGTTTAGTTTTCTCTCTCAAGCTCTATCTCCCTTACATGATCTTATCTTCAGTAGTTCCCCTGCTATGATAACCTTAGCTTTCTATATATATTGCTGCTGTTATAAAACATGCCAGGTATTTCATTAGCCCTACAGCTACACATGGCAAACATGGGTAAAGCATAAAGATACAGATAGACTCCAACCATGCCAGCACTCACTATTAGTTCTCAGCACACAGTGTACACAGGGTTAAACAGGGTTAAAGGGTTAAAGCAGCAAGATACTGATAGACCCCTTATTACCATTGCTGCAGTCAATATAGCTAATCTTCAGTAGTAATATGGAGCCAAGACGTAGCTGACATGGTTAACAGAATCAACAATCAAATTAAAAAATAATAAGTCTTCAGAGTCACAGCCCCTGTCCTGCAGTTTGAAACTTTACAGCTATTTAAATTAGCCATAGCATGAGTATCTACGATTTAAGCTGTAGAGTGATTGATCACTTTAATGAAGATGTTGGATATGTGCAGTGGGACTTATTATAACTATTAGTGATAGGCAGCACAGTGCTCTAAGTCAGAAACGTGGCCCTCCCATTGTCAACCCTAGGCTTCCCTTACTTTATATATATTAATTATATATTTGAGTACATCAACTTGCTTAATTAGTCCTTAGGTAGTCATTAGGGCTATTAAGTGGAAAGAAAGGATAATAACTATATATTCATATTTGGCAGAGGCCAGGATCTGCTGCTGATATGCTCTCCCTGTGCTACTTCCAAGATGGCTTCTTGCTTCTCTCCTGTGGGCATTGTAACCCAAACCCCTGGTGCTATTGTCCAATGATGGCCCCTGAATAGAGAGGTCAATTGCATGCCTCCACTCATGGGCAGCTGGCTCTGCTGCTTGAATGTCAATTTAATGGAAATTCTGGTCATTTTTTCTTAAAGAACACTAGGCATTTGCAAAAACCTACTGAAATAGGGCATATTTCAAACTTGCCCCATTTTTGACATTTATAGATGCTCTCAAAAAAGCTTTTCCAAACAGCTACCAATATGAGAGGAGGCGTCCGGCATACCTAAAATCTATTACAAAATTAAAGAGACACTATTTCCCCCCCATATTTTTGGCTTACCACTATCTCCCCCAGAAATAAGAATCTTAGTGTTTCTAAACAATTTCAAATACATATTTTTCCCCATATAAAAACTGGTGGGCCGCTTTACCAAGTGGCCCTATGGACAAGCATCCACTGCTTCAGTAGTATGGATGAAATTGTGGTTTTTGGGAAAAGCAGAGATTTTTTTAAGTTACCTATTGATCTATGAAATTGCAAAATGCAATTGGAAAAGTCATTAAGAAAAAGATCAAAACTATTTAGTATACACAAACTTTTAAAACACTGTTATTGAACAACATATCATAGAATTTTCTGAAGATGAGCAAATTAAGTTACTTACCAAACATTATGACTTCCTAGAGGTTAATGTCCAAACTAATCGTATGGATGAGATCTCGGAGCCGGTTACAAATGTAATCCTTAATCACTTGGGTAAGGTATGTAGGCACATTAAAGGGTTACTCCAACCACCATGACCACTTTTGCTTTTATAAGTGATAGTAGTAGTAGTCTGTATGCTTGAAATGCTGCACATCCAGAGATATTTGCACTTGTGTGCAAGGGGTTAATTACGCCCCTGACATATATAACGTAGGCCGCTCAGAACTCTGCAGATGCGTATGAGCTATATGCACATACCAACATGTTGTGTTTCACATGAATGTTTACATGTGAGAGAATAAGCACAGACATTATACATGAATGGAATGACATGTATAAAATGTTAATTCGGTACCTCTCATATAGAGGATATGAAACTATTTCTAAATATACATCTGATCTTTGATCTTTCTGACTAACTGTGTGGCATTAATATCAACATGTATCCATTGACAAAGCCAAATATATACGCAGACACACAGTTGAACACAATTTCACTTGGTGTGACTTCCTCAAAATATGAAATCAAAATACTCAGGTAACTGAGAAGAATTAAAAGAATTAATACTCAAGTAAACAGTTGTAATGAAATGGTAAGAAATTTCAGTACTACAAAGAAATGGTGGAACGTGGGTTGTGTTCTTTTTTAATAAGCAATCAAATTGTTAACAGATTTTTGAAACGTGTACTACTTAGCAGACATATAATGTAGATTTATATAGCTCTACCCTGCCTGTTTTGTTACTCTGTTAGCTACCAACTTCTCCTGCACTTTTCACTTTTAACCCCATCTTCTGCTATTTTGAACATCATACCCCCCAGTTGTTATTAAATCACGTAAAGGGTTCTTGGCTTGGTACACACAAGTTTATTAACTTAAAAAGAAAAAAATGTGATCATTCTATTGTATTTGCTGAATTGCTAGCAGATGAGAGAAAATAATTTAGAGAGAAAATAATATTCAAACACATACCCTCCCCCACCTGTTAATTCAGAACAGAATTGCCATAACACTCTAGTCTCTATTGACATTTGACTGACAGGGGAGTAAGTGTGGTTCTCCTACTCTCTGCACTGCAACCAAAGCTTATGCTCTGCGGTTGCTGTGGTTACTATAGTAACAGAGTGATTGATGTAATTTTGTTCAATCATGTGCAGCAATGAAGAAGTAAGAGATCAAAAATTTGAATTAAACATAACATTTACCTTTGTGATGAACTATATATTAATTGTCTATGAGTGGGGGATATCAGTCAAAGTGAACTAGTTTTTAAAGCGTTACTTTAAATCCTTCCATTGATTACTGCAATTGAAAGAATTTTGCCATGCTTTCGACCACATTCCAAGACTAACACAACTACTCACTTTTTATGTGTCTTTCTTTACGTTAAATTAACTATCAAATGTTTATATTTTGCCAGGATAGACATTATTTTACATTCCACACCATAGTCCACTGCACCTCTTTTCTTTTTGTTTATGAGACAGAGATATTTATCTAAAACTGATTGTCAGGAAGACTTAATCTATTGTGTTCGTTTCTTCTAGCTTTGCTTTTTTTTTTACAATTTACATAGAAATAGCTACTAAAGTGATTTTAGGTGAGTTGACAACGTATACAAAATTTAACACAAAATACTCAAAATGGCTGGAAAATTACATTTTTAAAGTGGCTGAGATGGTTGTTTGATTACCACCACTATTGCTTCTTGATAAAATCCCTTTGATAGAATGATGCACATGAAGAAGAAGTGGTTGGACAACAGTTACAAAGAGAAAACAGAGTGACGTGACAATTCCACCTCTTTTGTACCCTTATAAAAATAAAAATAAACTGCCTGAACAGCATGCTGGGACTATTAGACAAAGATTGTCATGCTGTCCCACTTTATTTTAGTTCCATGTATGTATTGAGTAATACCTATAATGTTAAAATATTGGAAAGATGACTGGTTTCCAACTACTACCTTTTAGTTTGGGCTGTTTCAAAGTCTTCACTTTTGTTCTTCTTGACCTTTTCCTTGATCCTTTGTTGCCAGTCACTGTCACTTGTTCCATGTTAATGGTAACTCTTAATCCAAAGTTTAGTTACTGGGCTAGCTAACCATTATGATAATCCCAAATGCCAAGATTATGGTGAGTAATTACCAATAAATCTTGTCTTCTAATTGCACACACATGTAGGCATGCAGGTTTCATAATTAAAGTAACAGTGGTTATGGTGCCAGGGCACTTTCAATATAAGCATGTTAAGGAGTCAGAAGTTCTCTGTTGGAGCTAAACCGGGTGGTGCAGAGCTTAGGTCAGGAAAGCTAATGGAAGCTTGTAGCAGGAGCTTACAAGTGAGAGAGGCAGTGAGCTGCTTTTGGTGGACCCGAGGTAAAAATTCAAACTGTTCTAAAATAGTTTAACTACTTACATTGAAGAATGACAAGGCACTCCTGGCACATAACTACTATAGCACACTGTAGTGGTTATGGTGCCTGGAGTGCTCCTTTAGGGGGGCTAACATTTTTTTTGTATTGAGTTGGCCAGACTGGGTAATCTAAATATCCTTAATTTAAGTGCTTGCTCTGCTAGACACAACTCATTAAACTCTGTGTCATTAGCAGCTTCAGAATTCTAAAAAGAGTTTTAATAATATATTGCAGAGTCATTGGTAATCAGAAGATACACCAAAACAGATACAACGGTCCTTTTTTTCCTATATATTTAATTCCATACTTCTAATGTCACTTCTTACAAGTGCGTACCAATTGCATGCCTTAATGTCTGAGTGCGGAATTGTGATGTAAGATTTGCCAAAGGCTTGAAGATGTTAAGACAGAAAATGTTTTCCAGGCTCAGTGTATTTTCACACACAGCTTGCTAGTTTGATGGGCTGGAATGGAATTGGAAATATTTTTGTAGACATCCCTGCCAAATTATTGTACAATGTCTGCATTTATTTTATTTTTAAAGTTAGCTGTTAAACAGATTTTTTTTTTTTAAAGTATCATACTTGCTTGTAGAAAAAAGTTAAACTTCAGTTACTCTATCCACACATCCATTAATCAATCCAGTGGAATGTTGCATCAGAATTGTTCCTGACCGATCATGTCTGTTGAGGTTTAAAACCATCTTCTGTATATTAGTTCATATATTTGTAAATGGGTTCTCTAACACAAAATACCTGCGTGGGACTATTGCAGGCCAGTATTTGCTTTTATATATACATATATATATATTTGCAAGCTAGAAAGCATCGCATATTTTATTAAGATCACTAAGCTGTAAACAAATTATTGAATGATACGTATTTGCAGATAAAATAATTTATATTTAGTAAGATTAACTTTTAGGGAACTTAGGTAAGATTATTTTGTTAAAATTTAATAGTGGCGTTCTTAACATGTATCTTTTCTACTTTTCAGAAGAAGATAGCTGCTTATAATAAGATGCAAGAGGCAATAGAATTAACTCTATCAACAAAACAAGAGGAAGATGAAAAAGACCAGCCAGCAGAGATGGAATATCTGAATTCTCGATGTGTTCTTTTTACATATTTTCAGGGAGACATTGGAACAGTGGTGGATGAACATTTCTCGAGGGCTCTGAGCCAAATGAGCACCTTCAGTCCCAATATTGCTGCATCAAAAAGTAAAATAGGGACAACAAGAGGTAACGTTCAGTTTATGACCCTACATTCGAACCCTATTGTGTTTCAATGACAATTAATTCATTAATTAAAACTGCCGTGCATTTTCTTATATTTGACTGTAACATATAGACATACTTAATTCTGATAAATATTGTAGTGTTATTGTGAATCATAATCATATATGTAACTTTTCTTTTTTGGGTACTTGCTAATATTGTGATAAAATCATTCAGAGAGATCGTGTGACTTTAATTGCCAACTGTCCTTCCTCTGACTTTTCCCTGTGAAAGGAAATGCAAATGTAAGCAGATTAGCCACTGGGCTACTTCCCAAGAGCTGTGGCATTGTCTTAGCTATGCTATGATGGCCCATGCTATGTTAGTCCCCAGCCAGCTATAGTGTAAACAAGATTTTGTTTGCGAACACTGGTGAATTTTGAGTAGCAAGCTAGCAGCTTTAACCTGCTAATTTCTGTGCAAAACCGTTATATGTAATAAACTAGGAATCGTGGAGAAATGATGAGGGAATGATGAGGGAATAGGAAGGAAATATCCAAATTGGAAAATACTTGATTTTGATATTTTGCATTCAGTTTGGATACCTTGGTAGAGAATTTGCAAGTACGAAAACACATAAATGTGAATGCTTTCATTTTATTCGGTGTAATTCATTTAGAGCAGGGAAAGGTACAATATTTCTTAAAATTCAGGATTGTTCTTTGCACAAAAGCACATTTATTAATACTTTCCAAGCACACCGCTTTAAAGTACCTATGTTGTCCCCAAATACATTATTATATTATTTATAAAGCGCCAACACAGTCCGCAGCGCTGTACAATAGGTGGACTAACAGACATGTATTTGTAACCAGATGAGTTGGATACACAGGAACAGAGGGATTGATGATCTTACATGCTAGAGAGAGTGGGGTATAGTGACACAAAAGGTAAGAGGTAGAAGAGCAGGTTGCTAGGATAGTATTCTTAGTGTTTTGTTTTGATGACAGTTGTAGGAGAGGAATCAGGGTGCGGGAAGGGAGAACCTTTGACAGTATAATTGATATGCTTTCCTGAAGAAGTAAGTTTTCAAAGATTTTTTGAAGGAGTGGAGACTGGGTGAAAGTCTAAAAGAGAGGGGAAGGACGTTCAATAGAAACGGTGCAGCCCTAGAGAAGTCTTTAAGGCGAGCATCAGAGGTGGGAGTATGAACAGAGGTTAGATGTATGTCTTCGGCTGAGCGTAGCGGCCTAGATGGGACATATTTAAATTGATTCAATCATAAGTCATAGAGGTACATTATGTATTCAATGATAAATATTTAGATTTACCCATCTTACCTCTGTACCACCCGCCTCCAGTTCATTCTTTGTTCCTCCTGCAGTCTTCTCTGATTTCTCCCGATTGGGGATACTTCCCGTAAACATTCATTGTAACCACTAAATCCGCTGACTTTGTTACCAGGATGCTGTCCCTATGCTCCCTAGCCAGGACTGATGGCATTGGCTAGAGAGTTACCATAGCAACTACAGTACATGCAGTGTGGTTGCTATGTTTGGAGAACAGAAGGGCCTGTGGAAGGTTTTTTCTACTTTCTCTTGTCAGTCAATTTTTCGGCATAAACTCTATGCCAAACAATTTTACTAACAGGTGGGAGAAAGACCTATTTTTAAATAGTTTTTTTTCTCCCAATCATATACATTTGCTATCACAGTGTATAGATATAATTGTGTGCTCTTTAAAAAGAGCTTGTGTTGTTATAGCTATGACATGTACTCATTAATTGTCAAAGGGGCAAATGAAAAAAAGTTGTTTAAAAATTAAAATATTGTTATATTTCTAGACTATTTCTTTATTTCAGAATTCAATGCACTAAACATAGTATTTTATTGCCTTCCCTGTTAGGTACTAACAGCCAATGCTAGTCAAAGCATCAAAATTGTTTCCCATGGGACATTACCCTTAAAATAACTGACATTTTGCTTATAATTAGAAAAATAAGTGAGCTCAGCCCGAACAAGGAAAAAATGTTTCTGCAAGCTGTTAAGCAGTAGACAAATCTGTCTTTTCTTAAATATTTTACTTCCCATCTTCTAACTTGACTATAAAAGGCATTTTTATTGTTTTACAATTTCCGTATGCATGTTTAAAAATTATTTTCATGGGTTGTTTAGTCAGTGTAACCATTGCAAATGTTGATAGTTTACATGGATATTAATATGAAGAGCATTTATATATATATAATGATTAATAGTATGTTTATATAAAAATAAATATATATATATATATATATATATATATATATATTTATATATATTGTACCGTCCAGGCGATTATCAGCAGAGCTCTCAATAGCTCAATTAATTGTGAGTGCGCACTTTATACATTTTACCTAACATTAAATATTGCTGCTACATATTGCACTATTTGTGTATATCTTTTCTGTTTTTTTCAAGATACTTTGAAGTCACAGATGTCATCAGATATATAAGTATATATACCTCTGTCATTTGCACTATTAGAACTGTATATTCACTTTATAGGGCGTGGTTTATCACTCTGTCTACATATATATATATATATATATATATATATATATATATATAAAAAACAAGGGGGGGTTGGCTGCACTCACCTTAACATGCATAAATGGGGGTGCTGCTGGGGGCCAAATAATACAATACAATACACAAGATCCAGCGCACTCACCTATCCACTAAACAGCAACTTCAATGTTGAAAGACTTTATTTGTTTTTTTAAAAACACCTAATCTAGGCAAAAACAATGGGGGTTTAGTTACATTATATGATCATACATTGCATAAGCCTGCCACAACGTCAATGTACCCCATCTTTGGCAGGTCCTACACTAACAGCCTAATGTCTGCTCTTATGAGATTAACCTACTTAGGGAAAAAAAAATTCCATCTGGGGCTCTCTGCAGTACAAGGCTAAATAGGGCCCTGGGGTGAGGCACCTGTGACAGGGAGGGGTGCAAAACCAAGGAGTTGGCTATAATTGTAATTTTTAATAAAATCCACAAAAAATCAGTGGCTAATGAATGTCTGTTTCTACTTTCAGAGAGCTCATCAATATCATGCCAAAGGACTAGCTTTCCCCCATCACTTCGGACAACATCAACTTCAGCATGTTTGACTGGAGTTCATCCGGACTTCTCAACAGCACCCACTGGAATTTTCCCTTCTACTGAACATGGTAGCTGGCATGGAGATTGCTTGCATCAGACTGTACCACCACCACCTACTGTATCAGAATCTTGGCATTATCCTCTAGCTTCACAAGCGAGCTCACCATACACACACATGCATGATGTTTACATGTACCACCATCATGCTCGCCCACACGTGCACCACCATCGACATCACCATCACCAAAGTTCACATCTAGACCCAAGATATGGACCCCTTCTAATGCCTTCAGTGCATACAGCAAGGATTACTGCCCCACCATGTGAAGCTACAAAAACAGAGGCCACTGCTTCCACTACTGCTACCTCGCCATGGCCGGGTGCTTTTCACGGCACTGTCGATATTGTACCCAGTTTTGGCTTTGAGTCAGGTAAGAGCATTTTGTTTAACTTTTGCTTACATGTGCCTCGACAGCACAATTACCAAGGTAAAAAAAAATATTTGCAAACATTTTGTACATTGTGTGTCATGCAACAGACATCTCTACTAAGATATGTCACAAATGTATCGTATAAATACTATTCATAAACATGGAAGCTATTATTTTAATAGTAATCCTTGTACTTCAGTTTGTTAGATTTGTGTGTGGTCCATTATCCTGCTTACCCATGTCACTGGTGAACCGATGGAAATCAGATTAAGCTAGCCAAACATACTATGTAAATCAGCCCTATTTATATGTAAAAAAAAAGAAATGTAAAATGTTAACAATGCTACACAAAATAAATAGAGACTACAGGAAATATAAGTTTAGTATTTACATATAGAAAAAGTCATACATTCTTGAATGTCAAAAAAATGAATAACAAGGGTGATATAAAGACAAACATTTTAAAAAAAAATTATAATTTCAACAGAAGCATAATGAATAATCTATCAGAGCGGTAGTCTTCTGAAATAAAAAGAAAATATTTCCAATAAGATTGACTTCATCACAGAGAGTTATATTTGATATGACATGATCTTATCTGGTACATAATTATGGCATCCTCAAGTCTACACTTTTATTAGTGTAGTCATCAGTGGTGCAGTATATCAATTAATGTAGCATGCATTTAGGCGCGCTGGTAGTATGTGTCTAAAGGATCTTTTAATGGTTGTCAGACATTGTGTTCGGATCTTTTACTGGGTCTAGATTGGCAAGACACTCATAGAAACATAAAAAACGTAGAATGTGACGGCAGATAAGAACCATTCGGCCCATCTAGTCTGCCCAATTTTCTAATTACTTTCATTAGTCCCTAGCCTTATCTTATAGTTAGGATAGCCTTATGCCTATCCCTCGCATGCTTAAACTCCTTTACTGTGTTAACCTCTACCACTTCAGCTGGAAGGCTATTCCATGCATCCACTACCCTCTCAGTAAACTAATACTTCCTGATAATTTTTTTAAACCTTTGTCCCTCTAAATAAGATAGTTTTCCAATTCTAGAGCTAAAGTAGGCACTGCTGAGATTCGAAGTCAGGATCTCCTGTTTACTAGACAGGTGCTTTAACCATCTAAGCCACAGCGCCACAACATCCACAGCACCACAACATCCACAGCGCCACAATATCTAGGAGTGATTGTTCAGCCCCCCACCAGTCCACTAATGACAGAAAAATGGCATATTTGTGCAGCAGATGGAGAGAGAAACCCAACACAGAAGCCTGCTCTGCATGTTCACACTGATCTCTTCTTCCCCTGCCAGGATGTTGCAAGGTGAAAATCTGCTAACTGCACAAGTGTAAATCTGCCAGCCATGTCCACTGCACTTTTTCAGCATTCCTAGGGATATGACACTGTTCGGTTAGATCAGTTTCCCCCTAGAGTGGGTGTGGAAACCATAAGAAAGAAGAAGCAGATACATCTGAAAAAATAAATATTATATATTTATATATATATATATCTATATATAGATATATATCTATATATAGATATATGTATATATATATATATATATATATGTATATATATATATATATATATATATATATATATATATATATATACACTGATCAGCCACGACATTAAAACCACTGACAGATGAAGTAAATAACATTGATTATATTTTTTACAATGGCACCTGTCAAGGGGCGGGATATATTAGGCAATAAGTTAACAGTCAGTCCTTGAACTTCGTGTGCTAGAACCAGGAAAGCTGGGCAGGTGGAAAGATCCTAATGACTTAGACAAGGATGAATAGTGATGACTAGACGACTGGGTCAGAGCATCTCCAAAACAGCAAGTCTAGTGGGGTGTTCCCAGTAGGCAGTGGTTAGTACCTACCAAAGGTGGTGTAAGGAAGGATAATCAGTGAACTAGTGTCGAGGTTATGGGTGCCCAAGGATCATAGATGCACATGGGCAATGGAGGCTATTGTAGCTCAAATTGCTGGTTATGATAGGAAGGTGTCAGATCAGTGCATCGCAGTTTGCTGCGTATCGAGCTGCATAGCTGCAGACCGGTGAGTGTGCCCATGATGGCCCAAGTGTTACCTGATGGCAGTAGCCTCTTTCAAAAGGATAATGCACCCTGCCATAGCATAGTTTAGGAAATGGCTGGATGCTTTCTGGACAGACCTTGTGTGTATGTATACAAACAAAGTTAAGCCCTGCGATCAAACTCCCACTACTCCTGGCTGGCAGCAATGAGTATAGTACACATCAGCCCCAATACATACCATAAAAGCCAAAGAAAAAAGTTACTTGCACACAATCTCAAATCCCGATGCACATTTTTAAAAAACACTGGCGTTTTTTTTAGTATCACTCCAATTGCCATTCAAGTGCAAGCTTAGCATTAAAAAATATATAAAAATAAAAAACTTGCACCATATATAAACCTCTCATACACATACACTTTGACACATGTTTCAACTACACCACTCGTTCACACAGGAGACCAATTTCTAATACACTTTCTTACATTCTTCACACATACATTCCTGCTTCACACTCCTCACAATTGTACTCCTAAAGTCACACACACTACTCAGATGTACACCTACACACACCCCATTCAACTCTAACCCTGAATTCATACACAGGCTCTCCATACTAATTTACTTTGGCATTAATACACCAGATCTTCCCTTTTTTTCACACACATAGGCCCTCAACAAAATTACATGACAGTCTTCACAGATACATCCATCCACACAATGCACAAGTGCATTCACACAGATTTTACACACGCAAATACAAATATGCATTTATACACAGGTCTTCACACTGTACACATCCACAGTAATACAATATTACATGAAAGTTATACTTAACATTTAACCCCTTAAGGACACATGACATGTGTGACATGTCATGATTCCCTTTTATTCCAGAAGTTTGGTCCTTAAGGGGTTAATCAATGCAAATGTATTTGGTATTAAATTTTACCCAGGGGGCCCCAAAGGCTCTCAGTCCATCCCTGCATACAGAAATATTTAGACTACCAGGCTTAACTCAGCAGCATCATTAGCCAGTCTGGAACGAATGACAATTATGTTCATATTTCTGTGCATAGACACTCATTAGTTGCTTAGAATGTCCAGCCGATGCTCTAAACCAATGAATGATTATCAGGATTGTTATCCATTCTCTGCAGCTTTGCTTTGCTGGGTCTCAAGAAAATTGTTTGCCCCATTACCAGGGAAAGGAGCCAGCATATTCCTAGCATTATAACCTCTACAGTGGGCTGTAATGATTATAATGCTTGGACAAACCCTTTAACAGCCATCTTGGCATAGTTAACTGCTAAGGAAAAGTTTAAACACTGCAATAAAAGCAAAATAGTAGACAATTATTTTGGAGCATAATCTATAAATTGAATATATACCTAGTTAAAAATGATCTAGTAATTTGCACATCATTACAAATGACAAGTTCCATTTATAGAGGGTTTGAGGCCCACCCTTCTTTTATCCTATGCATGGTCAATTAATTGGAATGAGCTGCAACCACAGCTCTTAGGGAAATTAACACCTCCACTTAATATATTGTTTTTATTTTTTTATTTAATTTATACTTACCTGTTTGCACAAAGAAGCCTTATTCCAGTTTTATCCTAGTTTCCGTAATTTGGATTTCATTTCACTCTGGTATCTGAAGTCTGCAATGCATTAAGCTTTTTCATAGAAAAATTGAAAAGCAAAAACTATCCCTAAACCCTATGTTTCTAATGAACACCAGTGCAACAGACATAAACATTACTGTCTATCACAGTTGGTCTTATTAGCTACCCTTTGAATGTAAGGTAATAGCTGCTAAATGTTTCAACCCTCTTTTATGTGTGAGTTGATAAATCAACCATTTTACTCATTTCACATACCGTCTGTTAAATTTGACACTCCATTCAAATACAAATTAGGTTTTTCTTCCTTACAGACTAAGGGAGACTCCACACCTAAAACCAAAAATACATATATGAAAAAATAAACATTGCATAAAATATAAACTTAAAAATGATTTTTGGAATAAGCAATGACAGAAACACTGTAAGTATTGCGGCTTCGTCAAGTTATCCAGTTACCAAAGAGATTTGCTGAGTACTATGTTTAAGTTTTAGCACCTCATGAAACTCACATTCTGTAATAATTTCAATATGCAAGATGTCTCTCAACAGGAAAGTGTAAAAAAATATTTAGCAATACTTTACTGCAGGATACAGTCGTAAAAGCAGATATGTTTGTGAGACTGCTGGCAAAACTGACTGTATGTCAGATATAGAGATAGAAATACAGATAGACAGACAGACAGATAGATAGTAAGATAGATAGACAGACAGACAGACAGAGGGAGATAGACAGACAGATAGATAGATAGATAGATAGATAGATAGACAGACAGAGATAGATAGACAGACAGACAGACAGGATAGATAGATAGATAGATAGATAGATAGATAAATAGATAATGGAAAACATACAGGTAGGTGTTCAGTAACTGTGTTTATTAATGTCAAGGGAGATACATAAGTATATCAATGTTTTCATTCCACCTCATTGATCAACCACAGTTGGGTCTGAAACATTGATCTGTAGATGTATCTGAGTTGATACAATGAACATACCATTATTAAAGGCCTGATTGATTTGGATAATTTGAATTTTGATTATGTATATGTTACTACAGGGGGTTACATAATATAAAATATTAAAAGCCATGTGGTGTATAGCATAATCTAAGTAGTAGATCATATATACAGAGTACAGTGTAAATAAGATATCAAAAGGAAATAAAATATTCCAGAAGACATTCAATTAATATATTCATAAATAAAATAAAAGAGAGAGCCCACATGGTTATTGATCGCTGTTTCCTCTCAGCCCTTGCCTACTTTAAGTAGTCTCAGCCTCCTATATCCACATTAAAGCCACATTATATCCACATTAAAAAAGATGTCAGAATATTTAGATTTTGTTCCATCGGCATAAATCTATTCGGGGACTGTAACTGCATCACAATGACACAATATATCTCTGCTTACTTTGGTACTTGGCTAAGAAAGATAGATAAACATATTTATGTTGATCAAATTAAATACCCAGGATTTTGTGTTCTTTGCATAATGATTTTATATTTTTAAATGTATACATTATAAGGAAAGCTACGAATATGTGATATTTCTGAAACCAGAAAGTCAAACTATATGTAGCACTATAATAAAAAAGTGAAAATCCATTGACCTCTGTGTTGAGTGTTTACACCTTTATCATGTTAACAAACATGTGAGTGTCCTATATTTATGGCTTTTTTCTTAATGTATATTTATACCCAACAGCCAAAAGTTGATTTGCACTTGGATAAGAAAATCATCACTAGTGTGCAAGTTTTGCCGCATCTCATTGCCTCTCCCTGTTTATCTACCATGTCTTTTTTTTTGTCAACTTATCAACATCAATCTATCTAGATATCAGACTGTCTGAGAACATGGCAGACACATTTTGAAACTAAAGCAAGGTATAACCAGATTCTGATAAATAATTATATTATCCTAGAAATGAAAAGAAAAGGCCAGGTGCCTTGCAAACGGATACATTCTATAATTCGTGGCAAAATTTCTTGAAAAAATCTTCTCCATTAATAATAATTAGACAGTCTATCCATCTTTCTATACATTTTCTAATGACCTCCTTATCTTGTATTTTAGGTATTCAGCACCAGGATAAAGCAAAGGATTCTCCATGGTTCTGAACTCTGCCTTATTTGAAAGTCCAGAAAACAATAGTCTCTACAAAGAGAATTTTGAACTATTGCCAAAAAAAAAAGCAAAACAGACGTGACTCTGAAATAAATCTAAGTGATTTCAGAAGTCATTCTTCAAACAATGTGACATATTTTCTGAGCCTACTGCAATCATTCACTAACTTTATTACAAACTGTACTTTCCTTAAAAGCACTATTTTTGCTATTACTATACATAACATTATCATAATCAATTACAAGTTTTATACCCTTCGGTGTATCTTGTGTCTACATTTGTAGATGCAAAAAAAGTTGGTTTTTTTTGTATGTTTTTGTGTAGCGCCAAAGAGCTGTTTTAGAAGGACTTTAAAAAAAAAAAAAAAAAGTTACATTTTAAAAGTTCTGTTTCAAGAACTGTGTCTCAGTGAAGCACTGGCAAGCCAAACTTTTTTTGTATAAGATTTTTTTTTTTAGATGTTTGTTTAGTGATTTGTGTCCTAATGTGTCTTATAGATTTCATTCGTTGATACCTCAGTAGTATTGTTAAAAGGAGTGGATCGCCTTGGTCTCTGGAGGGAAAGAATGTTAATTAAAGTAAACCTTTTTTTTCTTACAAGATTAACAATGCAGTTCATATGTAAAATTATTGTATAGGAAAACAATTTTAAAAAGGACAAGGGTCAATATTTTCTTACAAAATAAATGAACCCCTTAAGGACCAAATTCTGGAATAAAAGGGAATCATGACATGTCACGCATGTCATGTGTCCTTAAGGGGTTAAAAGTCACTATGTTTACATCCTGCATCTTTTTTTTTTTTAACTTTAAATAGGAATGTGGACCAAATCTGAATTTGAATGTAAATGTTTAAGTAGGACCAAACTGATGGTGAATTGGTTTGAAAGACATGCAAATGCTAAGACACCACTTCTAATTTTTTTTGCCATAAAACCTTGATTTGCTAAAACTTTAGGCACTGTTAGTTGATTCCAGATGTTACTTACAGGGTTAAGGGATAAATATAATTATTACCGTATGTAGATGATATAGATAAAAAGTAGGGTTAACCGAAGTGTTTTCAGATTTCTGGTACAATCATTATTGCACAAAAAGTGCTTTGAAAATGATGAGTCTCAGGTAATGTAATAAATTCAAACTTCAAAGGTTCACCCCACCACTAGAACTTTGAAAAAATAAACATTAGCTAAACTGTGTTTGAAACAGTAAATTATTTTGTTAAAAGTATGTTGTTTAGAAACGTATTTTTACAAGATTAAATGGGTATAATTTTATTATAGTTCAAGGCACAGATGTACATACTGTTTAGTAGCAAAATGTTATCATGAATTCAATTTCATTGACCCCAGTGGCATAAAGTTTAATAGGAGGTCTAGGTATTAGATGTTCACAAGCAAATCCTTAGAGAGACTGGGCTGGCAGACAACTGCATTGTGCCCAGATGTTCTTAGAATGATGACTAATCTTGGCACCACAGATGCACATTTCCCATAATGCTCAGCAAACCTTTAGCCTTTAGGCTGGTGGAACATCATGCATGGGAAAATTAGGTCACATATATCTGCAGTTCCAAGATTATTCAACAATGGTCAAGTGGAACAACTTAATTTGGAAAAATAATAATATCACATTATGGCAATATGTTGTATAGAATGTATTTCAAGAAAAACTGTCAATTCTAATTATTGAGGTCTTGTAAATGTATTGCACAATAATATAGCCTGGGCATTTCACAGAAATTGTTTTTCAAATTAAATGCCTCACCAAAAATGTAATAAAACATTTTAACAGTGCTGTATAGTTTTTCTGTGTTTAAATGTGTGCTTTGTATTGAGCATTAAATGTGAAAGACCAATAGTATGGTACTTGTAAGTAAGGTGTCATTATTACTATATGTAACATAAAAGAAAAGTGATATAACACATTTGTAGCAGAAACACAACATAAAATGAATATAAGAAACACAATATAAAATGTATAGCAGAAATACAAATACATTTTTGGAATTCATGTTCAAGAACGTAAACCCTTAAAAAGTTTATTTTTAAAATCAAGTTCCAAAGGTTTCAAAGAGAAGTGCAAATAGGAAGTAGTTTTATTCAGGATCAGGAGAACTAAATTATATACAACATTTTGGCGTAAAGCCTTAATCAGGTATATGGAATTTGATTTTGAATACTTCTAAGGGGCCCCTTTCATAGTGATCCAGGCGTGGTAGCAGACTCTGTTGGGTTCCCTGAGTGCAACACTACATTTGGAATTGGAAATGACACCGTCAGAGAGGATTACTTTAAAATGTCTGCCTATTTAATTTTTGTGCAGTCTTTCAGCAAAAATTTATTTTATTTTTGTAAAAATATTCATGTTTGTAGTTATAACAAAATCATTTTTACTAAGCGCTTGGCTTACCTGTATTAATGTATCTGCAAGGTTAATGCTTTATGCTAATTTACTTTTTGATCCTCTCGTACAAATACAATGACACTTCAAATCCACATGCACTAGAATCAGGTGCTATTGTTTTAGTTGCTGCCGGTATTAGTATTCTGTATGAAGGAGGTTCATAGAAGGGACTGACACAATGAGTTACTGCACTGGGTGACACCAACCCCAGTAAGTCAAGTTAATTCAGATGAAGAGCATCTACTATCATCTGAATGATCTAAATGAACAAAACTAACTTCAAAATAAATTTGGATTTATGCCTGTTTTAATTCGACTAAATATTAACCTGTTAGCAGATGAATTCATTAGGTATAACTTAAACCAAAACTTGCACTTAAATTAATAAATACATATGCAAGCTTGCTGGATAATTTGCTGGCATGAATTGATGTCTGCTTACTGAGCAAAAAGTAAGGACATAGGAACACTAGTTGACTATATATAAGTTACCAAGGACACTTTCTGCTCCATGATTTCCCATGATTTTTTATACAACACATCAATGCACCTGCTCACATACTGTTTGCTTGGACTTTGTCAACTCAATTTTAGTCTGGGCTACACCAGCAAGGGATTATTGGAGCATAGGGAACAAGGGTCTCCTAAAGCCCTGCAATCTCCACCCTCAGTGTAAACTTGTCAACATTCACTCACTGGTTACTTTCCGCATTTTAACTACAAAGGACTGTTGTATCAATTTCTACAGTTTATAAAGCTCTGTCTAACTTATCTCAATTTGAAGAGAGGTATGAATGCACATAATTAATTTTGAAAACTTTGTGAGAATGGAGCTCTGCCTAAGGATATAATCTTGTAGCTCTGTAGAGTATCATCCAGTTTCTCCTACATGTAAGCCAATGGACCAGGGCCTGGGCAAAGCATTAAGAAGACATTGTCTGGAAGGTAATACGGGAGATTCTGTCAATGTTTCCATTTTTGTCCTGTTTCAAGAATATATCTCTAAAACAGATGTTAAGTCACAAAGTGAGTCTGTGCCATGTGAAACGGCCACAATTGATCTCTGCTGTTAGAACTTCAGTCTAAAAGACTTATTTATTCATATGTGGAAAGTATAGGCTTACTGGAAATCGTTGAACATCGTCCTGGACAAAGTACAACGTATCACCAGCCTTTTCCCTTTGATCTTTTGGCTTCCCTCTTTTTCAGATTCATAGCGGGTTTTACCAAGCAAATAAACTGATATGTCAAATTTACATTACTGCTAAACATTCTCTGACTGAAAATTTATGTACACAATGGTATTCCACCAAGCTCTAGAGTCATGATAAAATAAATAATAATATGCTACAGGAAAAGTTCCACAATGGTCTTAAAATGTTTTGTGCATTTTGGAACACATGCATTGAATTTCAGGAAGACCTGTCTGATTAAAGTCTTGAATATTATCTTCTTCTACTTTATCTATTTTTGTTTAATTTCACTCTCTTTACCTTCATTCTCAGCTTTATCTTTTTTTGTTTCTCACTCTTTTTAATCTTACAACGCAGGTCTGCACACACAAGTCAAGCCATAAGACTTGCTTTTCCCACAGAAATCTCACATTTGTAATGCTGTTACTCCTGCAAGGGATTCTGTGTTGGTATATGCAAATGAGTTCAACATAGAACCACCTTTATGCAGCCACTTTATACATGGATGCCGTGGGGTTTGTCTGTTGTATACAACAGCTTTTAAATTCAACTCAGGAAGAGGTGGAAATCCAGATAACTCACTCGTAGATAACTGTTTTGTTAATGCAACTGATCAGCATGAAGTTGGTTACTGGCTTGCTAATAAGACTTGGTGTTACTTTTAGAGCACAAACACAGAAAGTTAAATAGAGATAGATAGATAGATAGATAGATAGATAGATAGATATACTTGGATAGCAAAATGGACAATTGAATCACATTTTTCTTTCAGGAAAATAAAAACATCAGGCAAACAAGATTGCACATACAGACTTGGCAAATATCAAGCAAAGGTAACAATGCCCAAATAGCAAATAGATTAAAACTTAGTAGAATTATTATTAATATTATTATTATTTATATGGCACCAAAAAGTTGCATAGTGCTGTACAATGGGTGGACTAACAGACATGTATTTGTAACCAGACAAGTTTGACGCACAGGAACAGAGGTATTAAGGGCCCTGCTCAATTAGCTTACATGCTAGAGGGAATGGGGTATAGTGACACAAAAGGTAATGACAGGGTATAAAAGTAGGTTGCTAGAATAGTATTTGTTGAGGGCTTAGGGTTTTGTTTTGATGACAGTTTCAGGGGAGGAATCAGGGTGCGGGGAGGGAAAGCTGTCCACAGTTTAATTGATATGCTTTCCTAAAGAAGTAAGTTTTCAAAGATTTTTTGAAGGAGTGGAGACTGGGTGAGAGTCTAACAAAGAGGGGAAGGGCGTTCCATTGATGTTAAATGATGCATTGATATTAAATGAACATATCAATGCATATTTCAATGCTCACTCTACTAAGGTTTAATGTTTGCAACTTGGGTATCGTTACCTTTGCCTGATATTAAATACACGTGGTATTATAAAAAAGATTAAAAGTTAATGGTCAAGTAACGTAGCTCTGCCTAAAATGTGATTGCAGGGAGTTAAGATGAACTGTTTAGAAGGGGAGGGTTTGCAGAAGCTTCAGACAAGAGGTCTCCAGTTTTTGCAAGCTGTTTTAGATATAACAATATTGAAACACATTCAAATCCAATGCATACATGTTTTAATTTGATAGACAGCCACTGGAGGCAGTCTTAGTGCTGAAAAGTAATCATTGCTGTTTATCAATAAGGGACACTGTACCCAGACCACCTTCATGAGATGATGTGGTCTGGGTGCCTATAGTATTTAAAGTTGAGGTTTTTTTGTTTTTTTAACTGTTTGGAAGAAGAAAATCCTTCTTTTTGACACTGCAGTGTCAAGAAAAAAAATAATTGTGCCTAGCCTGAGGTACTGACTCTAGTGTGAGATTAGCATACCAGTATAGAGCTGTATATAGTAGTAAATCCACCAAGCACCAACCTGTGTTACAGCACAAATATCTATCTTTGCTGTATAAAGATGTGTTACTTTACGCAATGCTGGCATAATATGTCTGACAATAATCACTTGTAGACCTCATCTACTGTTATAAGATAAGGAAATCCACCATCATTAATATTCTGTCCTAGTCCCCAGTAGAAACTGAAGAAGAGTAGGGGAAGGGTTTGTGTTCCCCAATCCATTATCAGCAGTAGTACCATGTCCACTGAGAGTGGGATCACCTCTTCCTCAGCTATAAAGACTGATGACACCTCCACCACCACTGCCTCCTTCATCAATGCCACCACTACCACTATTAGAAGAAGCTGTTTAGTATTTTCTGCTCCTACTGTGCACTTGGCACTTTGTCTAGGATCATTTCTATCTGAAGTATAATTATCTGATTTCATGGAATATGTTGAAACTTCATCTTCTACAAGTGCCAGAAGTAGCTCACTCAGTGATATTATTATTGCCATAATTTCCCTTCCCATTAGCATTAGTCAACCAAGTGCTAGTGTAGAAGCTAGTGTTTATACAGCTTCCAAAGATGCAACTCCATCTACATATTCATCGGCCACGTGTTCAAAAGTTGGGGCTAATATTGACTCTACTGTGGCAGCCTCACAGGTTAGTAAATTGCAAAGAGCATTGTGTGACAAGAAAGTGAGTAAGGGGACAGTGAAGTGTCAGCCTGAACATATATATATATATAAAGACACCACAAGTCTTTATTGTTGAGTTAAGAAAAGGTAATACGGCAGGCAGCAGGTGTACAGGTTCTGCATCTAATTCAACACAACCGGCTACCAACTACCTCCTCCACTTCTACCAACCTTAGGCAGAGCACAGAGCTGTTGAGCCTAGTGATGCTAGGTGACAAAGGTGTCAATGAGAGACAAACTTCCAATCCACACTATCCCAGGGACATGTCCACCAGCCCACTCTTGACAATTTTATTGTATTGGATATCCAGTAATGCCAATTTTGGAGCTATGCTACCTTACCTGTGAGATTTTAGGATTAAGGAAACAATGTCACTCTGACTCAACAGCCTGACATACTGGAGGGTTAAACTTATTAACATGGTCAGTGATTTGCAGCAAAAAAGAGGCATGCTGGTTTAGAAAGATATGTGCATTGAACCAGTGGTGTATTTTGGATATGTGCTGCCGTAGGCATGTCAAAACTCGGGCACCCCTCGCACCATCTAAATTTGCCCCACCCCTACCTGTTTAAGAGGAACATGCAGTTTGACTTACAGACACACTCTGACACACCCATTCACTGACAGGCACACACTCTCAGATTCACATACAGTGACATACGTTCACTGACTGACA